CCACAAACAACAACCAACATAATTATTACATTCAAATGAAGTACATTATTGAAGTTTACATTAACTTTGGATAATAACACGGGAGAAATTTGTGGAAGCGCTCTCTTTTCCTCTCTCCCTTTCTCTCCCCTTCTCTCTCTCCTGACAGCCTGTCAGTATCTCATGCAGCTCACTGATCCAGTAATGAGTGACCCGACAGTGAAGAATAAATATGTATAACTAGTTTAGCTAGTTCCAGAGGTAAATAAACTAGCTTAGTGTGTGTGTTTTGCTCACCGGTCTGTCACAGCGGGTGGAGCTGCAGGATTTCTGCTTCACACACGTTGCATATCGCTATTTTACTTTCTTTTTCGGACACCTTAAAATAATGCCAGACCAGCGAAGCCATTTTGGCGAGCTTTTTTTGCCGTGCACAGAGAAAAGTGTCATGTATTTTACGTCATGCGATCTGCATTTTTAGAGAGCACCGATCGATAGGCAGAGAGTGAGTATGGACCGATATCGATCGCCGGCCGATCGATCGGAGCATCCCTATAAATTAGATTTGACGAAGGCAGCCTGGGTGTGTTGGACTGCCACACTAGAAAGAAGCTGTCTTTCCTCTCCTGAACTTTAACTCCAGTATGAGATACTCCTGTGTTTATTTCTCCTGCCTTGATCCCTAATTAAAGTGCAGTTTTTGCTAATCTCTCCTCATTATTCATTCCTCTCTCCAGCAATTTCTAAGAGTCTGGAGCCAGTGACCGGTCAGCTGAACAACACAATTGCTGCTAAGCTGACCGCTGTGGAGATCACCCTGAAGGACAATGTCAGCAAGGTGGTCAAATCTAAGGTAAGATGCAGCCATTAAAACTGTTCTGCCTCAAGGATTTGTGGGACAGCAATATATCCTTATCTTTCCTTAAGGCTGGTCCAGTGTGTCCTATGCTTAACGAGTTAATAAAAGGAGGTATTGAAGCTCCTTTCCTGTCATCTAAAGAATTCCAACAGCTCTTATCATGGCCGCCACTTAAAGGTGGGGTAGGTAATTCACTTCAGAAACACGTTTTGTTATATTCCATGGAATGCTCTTAACATCCCGATAGCAATGAATATATTAAATGCTTTGACAAAAAATACATACATTTCATCTGTGGAAGCCGTAGTACTGTAAAAAGCACGACCACTCATTTGAGCCGGCCTGGCTACAATAACTGGATTGCCTACCTGCCTGTCAGCCTTCCATCTGTGCACAAACTTATCTCGTGCCCTCATTGGTCATGTGCTCGTTCGTGTGTGTTGGAGGAGGAGCTCTGTAAGGAAGTCTGAAGGAAGAGGCAGATTTTTTTCGGCTGCATACTTTCAAATTCTAGCGCACTCGACTTGGTTTCTCCATTCCTACCTACCCTACCTTTAAGTACTTCCAGGGTCATTTCATTCCGTTAATAACCTTAAGAAAAAAAAATCAAAACGATTCGACCTAACCTTATCAAGTTTTGCTTCCCACTTCCTGTTTACAGAACATGACGGATGCAATTGGTCGAGCAGCAGCCGAGGCGATGCAGGGGCCCATCCAGGCGGCCTATAAAGATGCCTTCCAGAGCATCGTGCTGCCTGTTTTCGAAAGAGGATGCCAGTCCATGTTTCAACAAATCAACGACAGCTTTAAACAAGGCACACAAGAATGTAAGGCGACCTTATTTACATGTATTTTAAAACATCCCAATGTGTGGTTTTGTCAGCAAGCATTATCATTTAGATCAGCTATCAAGACCTAGATAACCTTCTGCAACACAAGGCCAGTTTATCAACATTTATTGAAATGCTCTTAAATAGACCTTCTATTCGTTCAGAATATGTCTAGACTTTGAAACTGTTCCATTGAAGCTGCTCTGGTGGCACCATGTCTGTTTTTGAGACACTTTTATTGCTTTTTTTCATGGGTTCCTGTTTATCTGCTAGTCTTAATTAAATAACCATCTCTCGAAAATGTGCTCAGGGACAGCTTTTGTAATGAGGCCTTTTCAGAATGAGCTGGGCACTGATGTGTTGATAAGCAGTATATTTATTTTTCTGAGAGTGTGCTAATCCTTACCTCTCGAAGCTGGTGGCTGGATGCTTAAATTCACTAAGGCTCTCATCATGTGTACAGAGTTACACTGCAGTAAATATGGGCAACACAAAACCTCTCTGAGCTTGTACACTTGTGTTAGCTTGTTCCAATTTAAATGTAATCCATGATCAAATTGAGGGCTTAGCTTTTACGTGTGTAAATATTGACTAACTTTGTGAATGCAGCATTTTACATCAGCAATGCCTTCTCGCTACTGTGCAAGCCCTCAGTCCTGTCGTTTACGCTGTTTATCCCAAAATTGTACCTATTCATTAAAAGTGAATCTACATATTAAAGGAAAACACTCTTTAATTGACAAAAAATATGCTAAGTTTAAACGGGCCCTATTATCCTCATTTCCAGTTCATATCTGTATGTAATGCCTCTACTGTGACATGTCTCCACGCTTTAATGTTCAAAAAGTTCTTTATCTTTCTCATACTGCCTGTGCTGCAGCACCTCTTTTCACCCTCTGTCTGAAACCAGAGCCCAGTCTGCTCTGATTGGTTAGCTAGCCGGCTCTGTTGTGATTGGTCAACAGCATAGAGATGTCTCACTCTTTGGTCTGTCACATAGAATGTATTGAAGCGCTAGCCAATAGATGCCCACATGTTAACCAATTGAGGAATTTCAGGCAGGGGAGGGGGGGCAGTAGACTACCTCACTCGCTAACGGATCAATAGATCGATACACACTTGTAGTTGAAAATATTGTGATAAATGCCATTTTTAATAAAACTTATAATCTCATCTAGCTTTTTTCTGGGTCTGCTGTTATCAGCTACCCTGAAACCAAACAAAACGTTGGGAAAAAAACAATCCTCTGCTCCAAGAAATCAATTTCGCTTTCCTAATTTTCGATCTGCATGCTTAAGACACAGTAACCTTTTGCTAGTTTTTTTACAATATTTCCTTACGGTAATTCAGCTTTGACGTTATGTGTTTGAATTGTATTCAACAACAATACACGCAATCAAGGAACCTGTGTCAGAACATTTTAAACATATATTTAGAAATGCCACATACTACTTTAAATTGTCTTAGGACTGTGACACAAACAAATATCATTCAGTTTGATTGGATCTGATAAAAACAAATGTATTGATTGATGTAGTGTTTGTGTTTTGTTTTTTTTGCGTGTCTGCTTGAGGACTAATTTTCTTTTGTTTTTCATCTCTGTAGACATCCAGCAGCTCGAGAGCCATATGAAGAACAGGCAGCAGAGAGAGCTGGAGGCACGTGAGCCCGTGGTAGGCCAGCTCCAGCAGATGATCGAAAGCTTCCAAAGCTCCACCGATCAGCTGGCCAATAACATAACAGCAAACGTCCGGGCAGAGGTCCAGCACCAGATCCAGATGATGGTGGGAAAGTACGTATCCTTGCTCTCTTTCATCGACTACACTAAGTGCTGATGGTGATCAGAAAGCTTTTATATGGAGCAAATTTCCTGCCAAAACTCCACAAACAAACTAAACAAGTTTTACAAATACATTATGATTCACTAACAAACACAGTGTGGTTTGCAAATACAAAACACCATCTACAACCTAATGCATTTAGTTTTGCAAATAAAAAACGTCTCTATCAAACAAACACATTACATTTTTCTAATAAATCATGTTTCAGAGACAAATTCAGCTTAGGTTTTACAAGTACACACATCTATTTTCTACTAGTACAAAACCTTTTTTTAGTACAAAGTACAAAAAAAAATCACGTGACTTTTGGCAGGAATATTCCGCCTTGGTTGTGCTGAGGATTTTCTCACTAATGTCCTGAGTTATTCTCTACAGAAGCAGGGGGCGCTACCAAGTCCATTTAAACGGAGGGGGGTTGAGCAGAGCAAGTAACAGCCCCTACCAGCGAGCATCATAAGGGCTTCCTCAACAAAAAGCAATTGGATTTTTCCGAAAATTGCAGGAAATAAGATTTGCGACAAATACACATTTATGATACCTACACATTTTGTTCAGCAGGATAATTCCCTCTCCATTTTTTTTTAAAGCATAAATGCAATCGCTCGGAAGTAAAAAGCTAACTTTAGAAAAACGTTACATGACTTCACGTCACCACCAAGAAGCTAAAGGCTAATCGCATTTTTTTTCACACATAGGGGGGATATTTACTGAAAAAAACTTGAAAATCTGTCAGGCTTGTGCTAGACAAGGGAACCAAAATTGGTAAAATGCTAACATATTTCTGGGTTTTAGGACTCATTCCTGCACCACTCAGCTTCCAATACTAACAAATAAAAAATACGGACATTTCCAACTCAATACTTATGAACATGCAGACATCAAGTTCTTTAACCTGTTGAACCCCATTGACCCGCCCAGGGACGTGCACAGACATTTGGAGGGGCTATTGCTCTAAACTGGAAAAAGGGCCTCCCCCCGATGAAAAACACAAGACCTTTTGAAAATTGTAACTTGTTTTTAATGTAAAAGAAACCAAACTATTATTACATCAACTAAATTGAACAGTAATTCACATCTCATAACAAAATAAGCTAAGGTGACTACTTGCATTCGGTAACTTGATTTTAAAAATGAAAACCAGGGAAATGTTTTGCGGTCCATATCTCATCAAAGATATCTAATGTTAGTAACTATTAAAGACAAAATGGGCACAATTCTGTTCTAATGTAGTTTGACCATTGTAACTGCTGTACAGTCCAGACATACTGATACAATAGGGCCTCTAACTAATTACCTTAAATAAACTCACTAATTAATGAAACCAGTTCAATACGCATTATTCTTATTCTAATCATTCGTTATGGGTGCTGAAGTAGTCTTAAAATCAGATCTGTTTTTTAAATGAAATTTGA